TTAAACACTGCAAGGCAGAGGTTGGGGCAGGTCCTACTCTGAGCACCCAGGGACCTGTTCCAGTCTAGCTGCAGGTAAGGATTTATTTCACATGCCATTTCTACTACAGTATCCAAAAAGTCACCGTATGGACAGGAAGGCCTATCTATTAGGCCTCTAGTTAACTTGTTAGGCAAAAAAAGTTCCTTAAGCAGCAAATGGCTACCAATGAAAATTAACAACATAAACGAAAACAAAATTGACTTAAAGACTGTGAACTCCATGAGGGCATGGCTGGGTTCTGTCTTATTTATTCTAGTATCCCCAATACCTAACACAGTGCCTGACATACATTCTGTGTCACATAAATACCTGTGAGTACTGAATGGAAGAATGAACAAGGTAATGTTGTACAAACATACCAAAAATGTGTACTTTGGAGAAAGAGTTAAGGGTGCTCAAGATCTGAAAAATAACCTGAAGAAGCATTGCTTTGAAAATGTTCTACAATGACTCCAGTTTTACCAAAAGGTAAGCAAACTAGAAACTAACAGTAGAATCGAGTAGTTAGTGTGGGCTAACCACAAGCTATCTTTGTGACCGTGGACAAGTTATTTGTTTGGCTTTGGTCTCAACTGAAAAAAAAAAGGGGGGGGGGATAACAACACTATCTACCAAAAAGTTTGTTGTTTATTCAAGTGAGAACAAAGCTTGAAACACAGTAAGTGCTCAAGAACTTTTCCCCATTACTGCTATTATTGTTGCTTTATTAAATACTTCCTTACAAAGGGGAAGATAGACACCCCCTCCCAAACGCTGAAAATTCTCACTTCTGGTTGAATATTCATCTAGCTAAAAATGCAAACCCTGTAAATTCAGAACTCAATGCCAAGCACAAAGTCTCTACTAGCCTCCACTAGATGGTGACAAATTGGGTGTGGAATTCCCAAAACAGAAAGTACCTGTGTACATCATTCAAACATACATTTTAAATCAGAGGAATGAAGAGCAAGAAATGAATTAAACACTATGAAGGATGGAAAGACCCACGCCCCACCTCTGTAGATATAGAAAGGGTATAAATACCTACAGTTTAATTGCACCTCTGTACAAAGCACACACAAGCCCAATTACCAAGTGCAACAAAGCCCAGTAAGTCGCATGCCACCAAGAGAACATTCTGCGGAAACAACAGCATTAGGCCTCTTTGCCAAGACATGAACTTCCCTGGAACCAACCAAAGACCTGATTTTGACGCCTCTTTTCTCCTGGGTATTACGGTCCCCCAAACCACCTCCCGCTCCTCATCTCCTTACAAGTAACTTTTCCCACTTTCAGCAGCCCCACAGCCACAACCCTACCGGAGGGTCAGACCTACACTAATATTGGGAGTCTCTAAAAAGCAGAGTAAAAAAGAAAGTCTACATACATAAACAGGAAATGGTTTCGGTGAGTCTCAGCCGGAATAATAAGAGAAGTTTTTGAGGTTAAAGACCAGACGGGGAGCGGGGGCTGCAGAAAGCTCCGGGACTCACGCGCGCGCACACACACAAAACACACACACACGAAGGCCAAGGTTTGCTCAGGAAAAGGCACCGTCGCTAAGCAAACCCTGCCCCCGCGCGGGACCCGCAGCTTTAGTCAGCTGGCGGGGAAAATAATAATAGTAATAAAAGAAGAAGGGCCTCAGCCTACCTCCTTTCCAGCGATCCGCCAACTGTGGTCTCCACCCTGAACTCCCCGGCAGCGAGCGCGACCCCGAACGTCAGGCGAGGCCAGGGCGGCGTGCGCGGATCCGGCCACTAGTTCCCGGCCGCAAAACGGCCGTCCGGTCCTCCTCGCGGCCTCGGCACAGCCTCCCCGGCCGCCCTCCCGGCACTGGGCCCGGCCGGCCCACGCCGAGTGACAGCAAGACAGCGCAGAGCAGCTGACGCCGGGCGGCCGGCCGGGGCTCCCCAGCGTCCCTCCCGGACGGTGCGCGCCAACCCCGAGTTCCTGACAGCCGGCCGTGCGCGCCAGTGACACAATGCCGGACCCTGCTGCTCCCCGGCCACGGTGACAACTTACCCGGGGAACGGCGCGGCGACCTCCGGGAGGGGGGGCGCTCGCAGCTTCCGCGGCGCCGGGATCCGCTCCGCCGCTTGTGCGCGCCTGCAGCCCTCTCGGGTGTAGACGAGGCCCCGCGTGCCCCGCGCGCCCTTGTCTGGCTGCAGCTGGCCGGCGCTGCGGGAGGAGGCGAGAGGCAGGGCGCGAGGTTGTCGTCGGCTGAGGAGAATAGAACGCGGCGGCGGTAGCGGCAGCTCCCGCGTCACTGGCCCAGCTGTACCGCACGGGCGGGGGAGGCCCGGGAGGCAGGAGGGGAAGGGGAGGGGGAAGGGGAGGGGGAAGGGGAAGGAGAAGGGGAGGGAGAAGGGGAGGGAGAAGGGGCGGGGCCAGGCGCGCACGCAACAAGCGCCGGCGTCGCGCCGCTGCGACTGCCCCGCTAGGAGACTCCGGAGTTCGACGGCTGCCAGCACGCACGCGCCGCCGGCTGCGCCACACGCCCCAGGGAAGTGAGCCGGGGTGGGGGTGGAAAAGACTTAAAGGGACAGTCATTTCGACTGCGCTGGAGTGGTTTGGGCGGTGGTACAGGATCGGACTGGGTCGAGTTTGCAGTGCGTTTTCTAGCTCTTTTACTATTATTATTTCGATTTTTAAAATATTATTTGAATTATTGGATTACAATTATTTGCAAAGAATTGGTTTGCTCTGAGTTTCACAAGGCACTTTCTTGCTTGTTGCCTTAATAGCTTTTAAATCACTCGCCAGACCTATCGCTGAGGCAGGCCATGATTTCCCTATTAAACAGTGTGTCCCAAACTGTGGCGTGTAGTCTGACAAAGACAAAATTGCTCGGAGGGATGGAGTAGGTGTAAAAATGCAGATTTGGGGGTCCCACCTGCAACCCTTCCGATTCTGTAAAGCTAGGGTCAGATTCAGAAATCTTTTTTTTTTTTATCCTCACCCCAGGACATTTTTCCATTTTTTATTCAGATAGAGTGGGAGGGAGAGACAAGGGGGGAGAGAGAGAGAGAGAAACAAACACCGACATGAAAGGGACACATCGAGTGGCAGCATCCGGCACAACCCAACCAGGGCCAGGGACACACTGCCACGGAGGTACGTGCCCTTAGTGAAAACCGAACCCAGGTCTCTCTGGACCCCAGGCCGACGCTCTAACCGCGGAGCCAAACCGGCCAGGGCAGATTCAATAATCTATTTTAATGAGCATCCTGTAGCAGTTCCTCAGCACACTAAAAGCACTCGACAAATCTCAAGGTTGAAAAAACTGAAGGTGAGCGGGAACAGGCAGAGGCAGGACTAGAACCCACCACACTCCTAGCTTTATTTCCCATCCAGGGTGTTGCCGCCTGAGGCTATTTTCCAGCACTTTGCTATATAAGCAGTTTGTACACTGCTATCCTAGGAGATAAGTCCCCCACTGATGTGTTTACAGGGCTGGTGGCCCCTTGATGGTGATGATTGTGACTTTTTTTATCTTTGTGCCCCAGGGCCTTGTTCAGTGCTTGTCTCAGAGATGCTTTGTAAATGTTGAGGCCCTCCTACTTGAGAATCAGTGCCAGCATCTGCACTTGGACAGACTTCGTTCAGCCTTTGCTGCAGCTTATAGAGAAGTCAATCATCAGTTTGCCTAGGGATAAGGTATTTCAAGGAACTAGGACTTCCAGTGCTAATACTAGGACAGTCCTAGGCAAATCAGGATAAGTTGGTCACTTGTGTGGTATGTCAGAGAGCACAATATTCCTTCTCTCTCTCCCAGGTATCTTAACTAGTAGCTTGTGCCTGTATCACTTAGAGGGCAGGAAAGAGGAGCCTGGCTCCCTGAAAGTGAAGGAGAGAAAAGGTTCAGAATTAGTATATTGTATCTCTGTAGCTATCATTATTACTTATAACAATAGGAATGGCAGCATCTATTATTGAGGACTTATTGTTTGCCAAGGCATTGGGTAGGGACTTTTATACATGTAACCACTGTCAAATGAACTCAAAAAGAATCTGGAGGCTTTGGCTAGAAATAAATGATAAAGATTTATTAAAGGATCTCAGGGTTTGTAAACCTGAAACACAATTAGGCCACACCCAGAGTGTTCCAAAGAAGAAAGAAAAGTTAAGAGTTCTTATAATAAAAAGTGCATTCTTGCCCCAGCCGGTTTGGCTCAGCGGTTAGAGCGTCGGCCTGCGGTCCGGAGAGACCCGGGTTCGGTTCCCGCTAAGGGCACGTACTTCGGTTGCAGTTTGTCCCCGGCCCTGGTTGGTCGTGTGGGTGGCAGCCACTCGATGTGTCCCTTCACGTCGATGTTTCTCTCTCTCTCTCCCTTCCTCTCTCTCCCTCCCACTCTATCTGTACAAAAAATGGAAAAATATCCTCGGGTGAGGATAAAAAAAAGTGCATTCTTGAGAAGAATCAGGTCTACATTGTTAGACTCTGGATTGATCTAACATGGTAATCCTCTAGATGACCTGTGGTCTGAATACATGCACATTTTTTTACTTAGTTCTTCAGGTGGTAATCAGAGGGTTATTTGAAGGTTTGATATATATCCAGGCATTGATGCAGGACTAGAAAATTCAAAAGTTTAAGTTCCCAAGCTAGTTAAAACAAGAATAGAATTGTTTTCTTATGCTTCAACCTACCTGATTTTAGCATTTAGCAGCTGGACTATAGTGACTCCATTTTATTTCTTCATTCTATTATTCGCATCTAATTTTGACAGCAATCCTCCAAATTAAGTATCATTAACACTGGTTTACACATGAAGAAACAGGCTCACAGAGATTTTTATGACATCAAAAACTGTATAGCATGTATGTTGTTGCAAAACCAGAATTCATTCTTGTTTGTTCCAAAAGTGACACTTTTTTCAAACAAATGTGTGGCCCTTCCTACCCCCAATAAAAATAGCAAATAATGACCTAAATTGTCGTTACATATCTCTTGATCTTCTAAAAAGTGCATTCTTATGCTCTCTTCCGCAGCACACACACTAAAATTGGAACAATACAGAAAAGATTAGCATGGCCCCTGTGCAAGGATGACATACAAATTCATGAAGCATTCTGTAGTTTTTTTAAAAAGTGCTTTCTTGCACACCAGCTCATTTTATCTGCACAACATCCCCATAAAATGAAATGTATTATTGCCCTGGCTGGTTTGGCTCAGTGGTGGAGTGTTGGCCGGAGGACCAGTGAGTTGCAGGTTCGATTCTGGCCAAGAGAACGTACCTCGGTTGCGGTTTGTCCCTGGCCCTGGTTGGGGTTGTGCAGGAGGCAACCAGTTAATGTGTCCCCCTCACGTCATGTTTCTCTCTCTCCCCCTCTCTCTCCCTCCCACTGTCTGAAGATAAATAGAAAAACCGTATATATATCTCCTCGTGTGAGGATTAAAAAAGAAAAGTAATGTTATTATTACCCATTTTTACCTAATAGGAGGTTGAGACACCAAGCAGATGACTGGTTTTTCTGACCTCAAACAGAAGTTAGTGTGGAGTTTCCCTTGTTTTGATCCAAGATTCTTTGGGCAGCCCAGCCAGTGTGGCTCAGTGGATTGAATGTCGTCCCATGCACCAAGAGGCTGCTGGTTTGATTCCCAGTCAGGGCACATGCCCAGGTTGTGGGCTCGATCCCCAGTATTGGGGCATGCAAGAGGCAGCCTGTTGATGATTCTCTCTCATCGATGTTTATGTTTCTCTTTCTCCCTTCCTCTCTATCTAAAAAAAAATCAATAAAAATATATTTTTAAAAAAAGATTCCTTAGGCAGACTTCAAAGCCCCATGGAAGAAAACAAGTGAACATGCTTGACCCCAGGGAAGATGGAAGTATTCAAGCCATGTCACCTCAGAAAGTCAAGTCCAAGATAGGTGGACCCGTAGGGCTGGGCCAGCACAATCAAGAGGCAGTTCCCACGCCTTGGGAGGAAGATTCTGAGCTCAGGCTGTTGTCTGAATATGTGGGTCTGAGCCATCACCTGGGGCACCCCTCCTCTGACATGTCAGGAACCTATGAGAGCCAGGTGTGGTGGCCCAGTCTCTGTTGACTACTGGTCTGAGGAGGCTTTGCAGAGGTCAGAGATCAGAGGTCAGAGCAGCAACTACAATTCCCTGCACACCCCAATTCTGAGCCCAGCCCTGGAAAATGTGTACCTGAGGCAATATATACCTGACGATGCCCAGTCAGCAGGTGTGTGTAAGAGGGTGATTCGACCCCTCTTGCTTTTTCTAAAGTACTGACAAGTCTTTGACAGTGTCTTTATTTCTGACACAGACCAGGTAAGCTGAGTAAAAGTATAAGCCCTATTTTACACTCAAGGATAAGCTAAGGTAGCAAAGAAAGTGTCTACCTGCTATTTCTGCCTAACTGCTCAGATCCCTCCTCCAGTCTGATCACCTGCTTCTCCACCCTGCCCTTTGCCCAAGGAGGCAGCCAGCAGTTCACATACAACATGGTTGATTTTGACTGAAAGAAGCCAGACAAAAAAACAACAACACATACACTATGTGATTCCATGTATATAAAGTTCAAACACATAAGCAAAATTAATGTCAGGTGTTAGAAGTGGTAGAAAGGATGGCAGTTACCTTTAGGAGGAATTGTGAGGAGGGAATATGAGGAGACTTCCGGGTGCTGAGAATGTTCTGTTTCTTTATCTGAGTTCTGGTTACACAGGGGTGTGTTCACTTTGCAAAAGTTCATAGAGGTTATTTATGACTCACTTTTTTCAAGTATGTAGTTATTCAATAAAGAGTTTACTTTAAAAAACTGAAGTATGTAGTTATTCAATAAAGAGTTTACTTAAAAAAATTTAATCAATCCAATGCTTGCACCTAAAATCACCATAATTTGCTAACTCTAAGTGCAGATGAATATAGATGTGTGGTTTTACTGACTCAGATGCCTTGGGCAATGTTGCTGCCTATTGTGTGATTTTTCTGAAATGTTGAGCTCTTGGGAAAGTGCTGAGAAATAAAGCACACTCACTGTTCGGCAATTTACATGATAGTTGTATTTCTGATCATTATAAACAGGTTTTGTTCTCTACATAAACATCCAATGGGGCAAAAATCTGTGGAACACAAGATGGTACCTTGCTGTGTGTTGGGCTGTCCTGTCTGTTGCAGACCAACCAGTGCGCCTGCCCCCCACAACAACACTTTCTCTGAAAAGGCGATGATGGCAGTATCCACCTTGTAAGGCTGTTATAAAGATTACATGGCCCTGGCCATTTGGTTAGAGCATTGTTCCAATACAGCAAGGTTGTAGGTTTGATCCCCGGTCAGGACACATGCAAGAATCAACCAATGAATGCAAAAATAAGTAGAACAACAAATCTCTCTCTCTCTGTCCCCCTCTCCCTTCCTCTCTCTCTCTCTAAAATCAATCAATAAAAAATTTTTAAAAAGAGCCTGGCCAGCGTGGCTCAGTGGTTGAGCATCATCCCATGCACCAAGAGGTTGCTGGTTCAATTCCCAGTCAGGGCACATGCCCAGGTTGTGGGCCCAATCCCCAGTGGGGGGCATGCAGGAGGCGGCCAATAGATATTCTCTCTCATCGATGTTTCTATCACTCTCTCTCTCTCCCTTCCTTTCTCTCTAAAATCAATAAAAGGAAAAAAATTATTTTTAATAAAAAATAAAGAAAGATTAAATGAGTTCATTTCAGTTAAGTGCTTAGAACAGAGCCTGGCACACAATGAGCACAAAATGGATGCTTGATATTATTTTTATCACCTTTACACTTCACCCACTAAACGCCAATGGTACCTTCAATAAACAACCAAACACACCCCCACAAATATCTGAACAACCCTGATAGGGTGACACTGCCCATTACAAACCATGGCTTTAAACCCACTGGTTAACCAGAACTTAACAAGTAGCAGCATCATAAACTCATTCATTCACTCGCTGATTTATTCATTCACCTGGGATGTGCTGAAGATTGCTTTGTTCTAGGCCCCACTCTCAAGTTGCCACCAGGCTGAGTGGGGAGACAAAGATTCCACAAATAATGACAACACGACATGATAAGTGTTTACGCAGCCCAGCAGCAGCAATTGTCTATCTGAGGCCCTAGCCTCCTGCAGAGGGGTGTGGTCTGCCTTGTGGTTTGTTTGTTTTAATTTTTTATTTAGTTGCCAGTATTTGAAAATCAGAAGAGTTCACATTAAAACCCCAGACTTTCTGCTTCTCTTAAAAAATCTAAAGCTTTGTAAATACTGGGCCTGCATTTGTTTATAGGGTCAGGATCCCTGCATTTGCCAGAGTTCTCACCTGACCTTCATTTACTTTCCCTCTTAGGAAGACCCGGGAACTTGGGGCCACTGTCACAGATCTGTCTGCTGTTAGTTATGGGGCCTTGAGGGAAAACTGAAAGCTTCCAGGAGGAGCAGACAAGTGAGTCCTGAAGGCTCCGCCAGAGGCAGTTGAAGTGGGAAAGATCATTGTGAAAGAAACAGCCTGCTCAAAGGCTGTGCTCTGGAAACAGTGGCATGCTAGAGGACCAGTCCCTGGTATGTGGAGACACAGCGCGGAGTCCTCAGGCCCAGTACAACAGAGGGAGGCCTGGGACCAGCTGGGAGCCTGGCCAGAGCTTTGACATTCCCAGGTCTGAGATCAGCCTGCTGTCTTTTCTCTGCGTACTTGCTTGACAGAGGTACAAGTTCAAAAGCAGAGTGCCAGGACTGAAGTGCTGTCAGTTACTATTCACAGTGTTCTTGCACCTGGGCCTGCCTGTCACATGCTGGGGGGTGGGGGTAGGGGAGTGTTTGGCAGATGAGCAAGAAGCATGAGGAAAGTGGCAGGAACAACCTGGTCCTTGGGGGCCCTGTAGGGGTGACATGACTGAAGAGGCAGAGAAGGGCTCCCTCCCACATGTCTGAAATATATCATTAGAAATTCACATCGCCCTGGCCAGTTTGGCTCAGCAGTTGGAGCGTCAGCCTGCAGACAAGAGAGTCCCGGCTTGGGTTCCCACTAGGGGCACGTACCAAAAAAAAAAAGAAGAAGAAGAAATTCACATCTCCTGGCTCAGTGCTTCTCAAACATTTATGTACATACCAATCACCTGGGGATCTTGTTAAAATGCAGATTCTGATTTAGAGGGTCAGGGCTAGAGTCTGAGGGTCTGCATTTCAAACAGCCCACCAGCGATGCTGCTCTGCTAGCCCAAAACTACAACTGGAGACGCCAGATCAGAGTTTCTCCACTGCAGCACTATTGATATTTCGGACCAGATCATTTCTTGTTGTGGGGCTGTCCTGTACATTGTAGGATGTTTAGCAACATCCTTGGTCTCTACCCACTGGATGCCAGTAGCAGTCTCCTAGTTGTGACCACAAAGAATGTCTCCAAATATTGCCACATGTGTCCTGGGGGAGGGACAAAATTGCCTTCAGTTGAGAACCACTGCTCTGGAGTCTAGAGTAACTAAAAATATAAGAGTTTATATATCTGTGGGCTTTGCTAAAATCTAGAAAGCCTTCAAGGAAGTGGGGCAGAGAGGAGCACATAATGTGTGGGGCCTATTGCAAAATAAAAATCCCTTGTTCAAAGAGAAGGAAAAAAATTCAAGGTACTAGAATATAAAACTTTTGCCTTTAGAAATATGTATTACTTATAAAAGTTTAAAGGGGGTAATAGTGATATATGAGTAACAACATAAACTCCCAAGTTGTAAAAAAGTTATTTTTGGTGTCATATTTTATAAGTGTAATATATAATAATACTTCATTAATGTTAGATCTTGATTGATCATAATTTTCTGGCTTGCTTTTCTGCAAATTCATTTATTAGGTCATAAAAATTTATAATTTAAAAAAGTGTATAATTTTAGCAACTTTATTTTCAATCAGTATAATTGAGAATGGTGTTAGCTATACTTTGGCAAATGCAAGATTACAAATAATTTTCAATATTTTTTTTAAAATAGATTTTATTTATTTTTTTCCTTTATTGATTTTTAGAGAGAGAGGGAGAGAGAGATAGAAACATCGATGAGAGAGAACACTGATTGGCCACCTCCTGCATGCCCCCCACTGGGGATCGGGCCCACAATCTGGGCATGCGCCCTGA